ATACCCTAAGGCAAAAACCTCTATTAAAAAAAAAAAAAGACTGTCCTAGAAAACTCAGGAGAGGGCTCCATTCTCAATGCAGCAGGCAGCATGGAGCGGGAGACCTGACTGTTCCCATGGAGACCTTGGTCAAGTCAGTCTCCAGTTCAGTCCTTTATCTGTCCAGTGGGCTACGCATAGTATCTAATATTGATCAGAACAACCTATTGATGTTCAGAACGTGTCTGAGAACCTTTGGGGAAAGTCTGACACACTCTTATACAGAAACACACACCCCACATGAGGTGCGCCACATTACCTCGGACTTGATCTGGGGACGGGAAGTGCTGCCACAGCTGGGAACAGTGACTGGTCCCTGAGTCCAGGACAGGGAAAAGCAGAAGAGAGAGATGGTATGTAAAGTCAAGGACCACGGAAGACAGGCTAAGAAATCAGGCTGGGGACCAGCAGTTGGTGTAACGGCTATGTTGCTGGACTCCCATGTAGTTGACTGTGGTTCGAGTCCTGGACCCAGTGGCTTAAACTCACCCCGCGTGCGTGTGCATGCATGCCCAAGGTCCTGAGAGGAGATTGGAGGAGAAGGGATTGTGGCATGGCCATCTCCCCTGGGAGGGTGATTTCTCACTTTCTGTCTCTCTGTCTCTCTCTGTCCTTCTGGTGAGCGTACACGCCCTATATCAATAAACCTCTCAAAAGAAAAGAAAAGAAAAAAGAAATCAGGCTGAGCAGCTCTGGGCCATGGGTTGGAAGACAGAGAGTGCTCAGGTAGTCATACAGGAAGTTCTTCCTCTCAGTGCTTCAGGGGCTCACATTTCTCTTTTTTTTTCTCACATTTCCTTTCTTTTTGATTTGCAATAGGATGCATTTGAGAGAGACAGAGAGAAAATGAGAAATCACCCCCCAGGGAGGATGGTCTCTCCTCCTCTATTCTCCTCTCGGGATTTTGGGCACGCATGCACATGCACCCGGTATGCTTTTCAGGCTGCCAGCTCAGGGCTCCAACCATGGTCGACCATGTAGGAGTCAACCACATTAACCACGACTCCACAAGCTGGCCTGCTGATGATTCTCCTTGTGTGAACCTGCAGGCCTGCAGCCGTGCGCGGCCTGCCGGGTGAGGAGCAGGGGGTTTGGGCTCTGGGATGTGCCCCCTGTAAGCCACTGCCCCCTCAAGCAAGCAGCTGAGGCCTGTGGACTGTCTTGAATCCAGAACTGGCAGTCACTGCAGACAGGTCAAGTTAGACGAACATTGAGTTCCAGTTTTTTTTTTTTTTTCTCTAATTGCAAGAGAGTATGTGCATTCACCAAAAAGAGACAGAGGAGAGGAAGAAAGCACCCCTCAATGGGTGGCAGTTTCTTCTCCTCCATTTCTCTGTCATGTCGGGATTTGAGACGTGCACACGCACATACCTGGCATGTCTTTTAAGCCACTAGAGCTGGGATTGAAACCATGATCAGCAGTGTGGGATCACCCTCATTGACCACTAGACCACGGGACTGGCCCTGATGTTTTTGTTTTGTTTTGTTGTAGTAGGGTGCGTACGCTTGCCAGAGAAAGGTAGAGAGAGAGAGAATGTGAGAAATTATCCTCCTTGGGGGGGTGGCCATGTAGCAATCCCTTCTCCTCCAGTTTCCTCTTGGGATTTTGGACATGCACACACACACATGCCTGGTGTCTTTTTCTTTTTTTTTAGAGAGAGAGATTTTTGCTATATAGTGCGTGCGCTTGCTAGAGAGGCAGAGACAGAGAGACAGAAAGTGACGAATCATACCCAACCCCTTCTCCTCCATTTTCCATTCCTCCCATCTCCTCGCAGGATGTTGGGCATGCACGCACACTCCTGGCATGAGTTTTAAGCTGCCGGGTCTGGAACTCAAACCGCTGTCATCTATGTGGGAGTCCAGCAGTGTAACCATTACACCATCTGCCGGTCCTATCTGGAATGTTTTTCTTTTCTTTTTTTTTTTTCTTAATTTTATTGTTTCATTCTTTTATTTTAATTTGGCCAGAGAGAGACACACACACAGAGAAAGAGAGAGAGGAAGTGAGAAAGCAAGCTACCAGGTCTGAGACTCAACTGTGGCTGGCCATTTGGGAGTGTCCAGCCCATTAACCACCATGCCTGGTCCTCCTGGAGTGTTTTTCAAGCTGCTGGGTCTTAAGACTGAAACTGTTCTGATCCAGCCACCTTAACCTCCACACCATCTACTGGCTCAACCTTTCTGACTTTTTCTTTTTTTTTTTTTTTTGGAGAGGTTTTCACTATAGGGCGCATGCGCTCGCCAGACAGACAGAGACATAGAGACAGAAAGCGAGAAATCACCCCCCAGGGGGGATGGTCATGCCGCAATCCCTTCTCTTCCATTCTCCTCTCAGGATCTTGGGCACGCACGCACACGCGCCCGGTGTGAGATTTAAGCCACCGGGTCCGAGATGCGAACCGCGGTTGACTACGTGGGAGTCCAGCGACATAGCCATTACGCTAACTGCTGGTTCCCAACCTTTCTGACTTTTTAAAAAGCTTATTTCTTCCATGAGAGAGAGACAGAAAGACAGATATCCCCAACATATTCTCCATGCTGAGATCCACCCCCAGTCTCGGCTGGCCCAGACCATGGGTGCACACACATGTCCAGCACGCCCAGGAACTCAAACCCAGAACTTCTTCCATGGGCCCTCTTGTATCACTGCCACACCACTGCTTAGATCCCAAAATTCTGATTTACCCCTCAACAGCCCAAATGGAAATTTACTGCTGTTCATTCCAGACCTTTTTTTAAAAGAATGATTCATTTTATTTGCTATTATTATTTTTATCAAAGAGGGAGAGAGAAAGAGAGAGAGAAAGTGAGAAAACGAGCCTCCAGGTGCGTGATTTGAGCCGCGGTAGGCCGTGTGGGAGTCCAGCACCTTAACCACCATGCCACCTGCTGGTCCTCTAGATCTTCCTTTTTAATACTTGAGATTGCCTTCTGAAACAAACCTTAAGACTTCCTTTGTTGTTGTTGTTGTTGTTGTTTATTCATTAATTTTTTCCATGAAAAAGAGAAACCAAGAGAGAGTTATCACCCCCAGTGGGGTCCTGAAGTGGAGATCCACCCCCAGCCTCAGCCACGCCTGGATCCTGGGCAAGCGCATGCCTGGCTTACTCAGGGAGGTCTCCAGACTTGAACTGGAATCCTCTCATGTGGCATTGCCTTGCCAAGGGCTGCATTTTATCACTGTGCCACCATCTGTTCCCCATGCCCCAGATCTTCCAAGGAGTCCCAGAGAGGCACTTCACGTGTGTCATAAGCCAGTCACAGAGAGTCACTGTGGGGCATGTTACGTCAGGTTCTGTCTCTGCTTCAGCCCCACGGCTGACCTCACTTATCCCTAAGCCACTTGAGGTAGCTAAAGCTTCCACGTTTCTGGGCACCCCACAAAGCTAGGCCCACTATTCTGAGAATAATATCTCCTCCCTAGTTCAGTGGTAAACCTTGTCAGTGTGTCCCAAAGCTGCAGTGATCTCAGTCCCCAAAGGTGCTTACAAACATTGGGTTGTGATGCAAACCCTTACATATGCTCACTCTACAGAATTAGGTCAACAGACATGAGCCTCAACTCTCTCTTTCTTTTTTGGAGAGATTTTTGCTATAGGGTGCATGCATTTGCCAGAGAGACAGACAGAGACAACGAGACAGAAAGCAAGAAATCACCCTCCGGCGAGGACAGCCACACCACAATCCCTACTTCTCCATTCCCCTCTCTGGATTTTGGGCATGCACACACACGTGCCCAGTGTGAGTCTCAAGCCACCAGGTCTGGGACTTGAACCACAGTTGACCACGTGAGAGTCCAGTGACTTAACCACTATGCCACCTGCTGGCCCCTCAATTCTCTTCATAAGTAAGAAAACTGAGGATTGCCAAGTCAGTAAATAGAGTAAGGACTCTACCCAGGTTTATCTATCTCAGGATCCTCTACGCTTTCTGATCCCCACCCTCAATTCCTGGGGAATCGAACTGAGCCCACGGACCTAAAGCAGGGGTGGAGGGCCTACCTGTCAGCCCTGCTTCTCCCCACCAAGATCCTCCTGCTGCCCCTTTCCTTTGGCACCTCCAGGCAGTTTGAGCTCTTTAGAGCCGGGCATCCCCATTTCAGAAGAAGCTGTTCCTTTAAGTTTGCTTATCCTCAAGATCAATTTCGGTGCTTTTTCCTGAAACGAGGAACTGCATGTCCTAGAGGTGTGCGGAAGCTTTATGCAGCAACAGGATTCCAGTGAGAAGCTGATTTTGATTGTTCCCTCAGGCTCAGCAAAACCTTAGGATTGAGGTTCTTCTCTTTTTTCTTTTTAAAAATATGTTACCAGAAGGCCTATAGGCTCTTCAAAGACAGAAGAAAAAAAGAAAGACTAAAAACCAGCACCAACAACAACAGAAAGAAAGAGAGGGAGAAAGCACCTCATGGTGAGTGGTCACCCTGCAAACCCTTCTCTTCCATTTCTCTCTCCTGTTGAGATTTGGGGCACGCATGCACATGTGCTCAGGGTGTTTCCCAAGCTGCTAGGCCCAAGACTCACGGTGCTGTCAGCTGTGTGGGATTCAACTGCCTTAACCACCAGGCCCCAGAGCCGCCCCAGGATTGAGTTTCCGTAGAGCATAACATTACATAAGAGTATGAGAAATAAATACAGCAGTTTGAGTGTGGAAGGACGTGAGGTCATGTGTAAGTTGACCTTGGAGCTCTCAGGCCTTCTCGGCTGCTTCCGCAGAGAGGGAACCTGTTTATGGTTGACGAAGGAGTTTGGAGGCAGAGCTAACTTTGTCTTGCCATCCTGGTGTGGGGACAAGGGGTTCCAGTCTGCCTTTTGAAAAATCGACTTTGCAAGGGCTCTGGAAGCTGCCACTGGCCGCCTCTGGGTGAGAAGAGGGGAGAGCAGCACAGGAAATGAAAGAGGAAATTGCTGAGGACTGGAAAGGGGAACCTGGGGGATGTGTAGGCCAAGAAACGAAGAGGGGTGCTTGCTTCGGCAGCACATACACGAAAACCTGAAACGCTGCAGAGATTAGCACGTCCCCTGTGCAAGGAGGACGCACACTTGCGTGAAGTGTTCCATATTTTCTAAAAAAAAAAAAAAAAGAGAAACAAAGAGGGGACCTGTGCCCCAGCAAGCGTGTGGCGTGTGGCCCGACTTTGATAACTTTAGGGAAATTTTGACATGACCGATGACTTCATAGCCCCTCTCCATCCCATCTGAAATTCTCAACACAGAGAAGGTCAGAGAGAACTTGCATGCGAACCCTTGGGTTCATTTTTTATTAAATAACGTAGTTTGTACGGAGCTTTATCACTCACAAAACCCTACTTTTTTTTATACATTAATTAACCCATTTATTGTAGGCTAGTGATATTCCAAATGTCTATGGAGCTTCTACGGGTCTTTCAATTCCTTCAGTCTTCTGATGGCAGACATTGCTGTGACAGCCAAAGTGGTGTCGTAGGTCCAGGCACCACCAGTGTTCATGCAGGAACCACAGTGCCAGGTCCCCACAGCCCGTCTCTTCATCTTAGTTTTACCACAGAAGGAGCAGGTGCACTTGGCGTGCTGGCTGATTTCAATTTTCTTCACCGTTTTCTGGAGGGAGGCACCATAGCGGGTCCCGTATTTACCGACGATGCCAACCTTCTTGGTGCATTTTTCCATACTGCCGTCAACTAGGTCCGAGCTCAGAGAGCACAAAACCCTACTCTTAAAGGGGTGTTGTCTTACCGCCATCGCCCCTTCACGAGCCTTCCAGCCAGCATCACGGTGTGTTTTTGTCCCCAGTGTGCTTTGGTTTGACCTGAGATCTGAACTGAGGTCTTCCGTGTGGCTTCTTCCTGCCTGCACCACTGTGGCTCAGGCTAGCTTCCGTTATCGATGGCATTAACACTACCTCAACGCTGTAACAGGTAATTAATGAAAAAGGTAAGGGGCCAGCCAGTGACGTGGAGATTAAGGCTGCTGGAGCTTATGTGGTTCACTGTGTGGTTTGAGTCCCAACCCAGTGGCTTAGAAAACATGCATGTGTGGGACCAGCAGATGGCATAATGGCTACGTCGCTAGACTCCCATGTAGTCAACTGCAGTTCGAGTCCTGGACCTGGAGGGCTAAACTCACGCCAGGCACGTGTGCATGTGTGCCCAAGATCCCAAGAGGAGAAAGGAGGAAAAGGGATTGCAGTGTGGCCATCCCCCTAGGGAGAGATTTCTCGCTTTCTGTCTCTCTGTCTCTCTGTCTTTCTGCCGAGCACACGTGTGCCCAATGTCCCAAGAAGGGAAGAGAGGAGAAAGGATTGCAATGTGGCCATCCCATTGGGGAGACATTGTCTCACTTTCCCTCTCCTTCCTTCTCTCCCTCTCTCTCTCTGGCGAGTGCATGTACCCTATAGCATATTTTAAAAAGAAAAGGGCAGGGAGAGACCCGCTGATGGCATAGCATTAAAACAGAATGTTCTGTGAGGCAGACCCACATGGAAAGTTGTCAGTTCAAAACCAGAGACTTCCTTGAGTTTGGTGGGGGTTGTAGATCCCGGCACCCAGCCCCTGTTAAGGGTGCTGTGTATCTCTCTCTCTCATAAAATAAATAAGTAATCTTGGAAAAACAAAAGATAGTTTTGAAATAAACAATAATTATAAAATATAAAGCTGTGTGCATCTATAAATTTCTCTGGGCTTGTGCCATAGCATAGTGCTTAAGCACTGCTCGTAGAGACCCAAATCCTGCTGTTCAATCCTCTGCCCTGAAGGCTTAGAAAACATGCTGGGTGCATGTGTGTGTGTATTCCCCAAATTCTGGCAGGAGGAGGAATGGAAGAAAAAGGCTTGCAGCATGGCTACCCCCTCACTGGAGGTTTCTCTCGTGCATGCACCTTCAGACAGTGAAGAGTATATTTGAGGGGGAATCAATAGTTTTAATTTGCCATAATTAACTTCACGATACTCATTAGAAATCCATTGCAAGGCATCAACAGCGCACTCAAGACCTGGTTCTTCATTCTATTCTTTATCTTTGTGTATATTTGCAATTTTTCCATAATAAACATTAAAAATTAGGGACCAGCAGGTGGTGTGGTGGTTAAGACACTGGATCCCACACAGCTGACTGACAGTTCGAGTCCCAGACCCAGTGGCTTGAAAACATGCCAGGCACGTGTACATGTGTGCTCAAAATCCCAAGAGGAGAATGGAGGAGAAGGGACTGCAGTGTGCCATCTCCCCTAAGGGGTGATTTTTCACTTCCCATCTGTGTGTGTGTATATGTGTGTCTCCAGTGAGTCCACACACCATATAACAAATTGAAATGATTAAATTAATAACATGATTTTTTAAAAAAGAAAGACAGAGAGCACAGAGGTCCTTAGTCTGAAACTGGTGGCCTTGGCAGTGAGGGCAGCTGTGGCATTGCATACAGGTATTAGTCGGCCCATTGCTTTTGCCAGAAAATTCCTTGGACCGTGGTGCCAAGTGAGCTAAGAGAACACTTTGCATAGTTTAGCCATGTACGAAAGTGCACTGTACCTTTTTTTTTTAAAATTATTTATTTAATTTTACTTATTCATTTAAACTTGACCAGAGAGAGATACACAGAGAGAGAAAGAGGGAAAGTGAGAAAGCAAGCTACCAGGTCCAGTATTCAAATTGCAGTCAGCCATGTGGGAGTGTCCAGCACCTTAACCATCATGCCACCTGCTGGTCCCCAGCACTGTACCTTTTAATAGTGAGACTGGCTTTCACAAAGGTGTGGATTGGATTTGTTTTTCTTGAGAAGAAAAACTTCAGAATAGGACCAGCAGTTGGCGTTAATGGCTGTGTTACTGGACTCCCATGTAGTCGACTGTGGTTTGAGTCCCAAACCCGGTGGTTTAAACTCATACCGGGCGCATGTGCATGTGTGCCCAAGATCCCGAGAGGAGAATAGAGAAGATGGAATTGCGGTGTGGCCATTCCCCCCTGGGGGGTGATTTCTCACTTTCTCACTCTGTCTCTCTCTGTCTCTGTCTGGCAAAAGCACTCACCCTATAGCAAAAACCTCTCCAAAAACAAAAGAAAGAATTTCAGAATGCACTGCCACATGAAAATCATATTATGGATGGTGTAAAGCCCCATGCTGAAGCTCAGAAACCAGAAGTTTTTTAAGGGAATCAAACATCTGATGAACAGAAAGATTTCTGAGACTATTATTGCCTATTAAAGAAAGACAAAGAAATTAGAGGTAGAGGCAAGGAACGGCGCAAGGGGGCAGACAGGTGACAAAGGAGTTTTAAGGAAGGAGGGAACAATAGAGTCAAATGCTCCTGACCATTTTAATAAAATGACCGCTGAGGGACCAGCTCGCACAGCGGTAATACCACCAGACTCACGTGGGAAAGGTCCTGGCTCCACATCCTGGGGCCTTCCTGAATATGCCAGCACACGCGTGCACATTCCCCTGATCCTTAGCCTGGCGAAGACTAGCAGTAGGTTGTGGCACGGGGACCCCGTTGGAGGTGAGTGTCTCTCTGCCTCCCTCTTTTTCATGGAATAAATACACTTAAAAAAGAAAAGATGGCAGCTGAGAATTGACTATATCCTTGTCGCGCTGGAGGTTGTGGTTTCAATGAGGTAATGGGGACAAGGTCTGGACTGGAAGGGATAACAAAGACCCGCGGGGAGAGGAGGAGGTGGTGGTGAGCAATGGAGACAGACACAGATATGACCGCTGGCGGGCTTTCGCCACAGAGGGCATTAGAGAATGGGAGTACTAGCTACATTTAGCTAGTTTCTGTCCCAGGATAAAAGATACTAGGGCACTGGGTCAAATAGTGGCATGGTTGTTAAGGCGGGTGGATCCCACACAGCCAGCTGCAGGGTTCAAGTCTCAGACCTGGCAGCTTGAAAACACACTGGGCACGTGTGCACGTGTGCCCAAAATTCTGTGAGGAGAATAAAGGAGAAGACGTTGTTGCATGGTCATCTCTCCTGTGGGTTCTTTCTCACTTTCTTTTTCTTTTTCTCTTCGGCGAGTTCACACTCTACATTAAACAAAAATTTTTTAAAGATTCTACAGGGACCATCAGATGGCGTAATGGTTACATTGCGGGCCTCCAATGTAGTCAACTGCAGTTTGAGTCCTGGACCCGGCGGCTTCAATCTCACACTGGGTGCATGTGCGTGTGTGCCCAGAATCTCAAGAGGAGAATGGAGGAGAGGGGATTGTGGCGTGCCATCTCTCCGGGAGGGGATTTTCTCACTGTCTCTCTGTCTCTCTGGTGAGCACACCCTATAGCAAAATTCTCTCTCTTCAAAAAAAGGATACCATGGCATGTTTTATGCTGTTGGGAAGAATCCAGTAAGAGTGGACAAACTCATGATGAAAAGTGATGATGCAGTTTGGCAGGTGGCATGGTGGTTAAGGTGGTGGACTCCCATATGGCTGATCGCATTTCGAGTCCCACACCTGGCAGCTTGCTTTCTCACTTTCCCTCTCCCCCTCTCTCGGGTCAAATTAAATAATAATAATAATAATAAAATAAACACTTTTTTTTTTAAAGTAATGATTTGAAGGAGATGGGGTTGACCGTAGTAGCACTGCTCCTACACATTAAGTAGAAAGGAGGAAATAGTATCCAGGGGAAAGAGGCACCGGAGGCGGGGCAGCCATTTTCCCTTCCTCCTTCAGACAGCTGATGTTTGGATATGAGCTCTGGACTTTCGGGGACATTTGTGGCCAGCCTGAGGATGAAATCGGAGCTGAAGACAGCAGAACAGAGAAACGGAAAGCACCTAAATTCTCTGCCATTGTGGGGTCACCAGCGGCCTACCCCACCTTTGGACTTGCTGCTCTGTGAGATGATAAGTGATCTCATTGTCTAAGCCAGCTCAGGGCAGGTGTCCTTAACTGTACTCTGACATAATTTTAATGACAAAAGGGTTGCAAGAACAGTGAAGAGACCACCCATCTGCTTTATTCGGCTTTGCCAATTTGGAACATTTCGCCACATTCGTTTAATCCTCTCTGTACAATTCATGAACACGTACACATTTTTCTGAGCGCTTTGAGAGTGGACTATACATCTCATGTGTCTTTTATACTTTTGCCCA